CCTCCAGAGACTGTCCAACAGGAGGAAAGCGTTACGCACACGCAGCCCACAAGGGAGGCATTAAGTGCTGCGGTGGTGAAAAGGCTACGATAACAGGAAACGTGCCAGATCCCCAGAGCAGAGCTAAGGTCCCTTGCAGTTGGCAGGAACCAGGACATGCTCCTGGAGGAAACCAGAGAGGTTCATGAGAAAATTTTATTAATGTGATGAGCAAATAAACATTAAATTTAAGATAGAGACTAAGTCTGGCCCTCACTACATCTGGGCACCAGGCTAGCACGCAGCAGAAGTTTAGAGAACGCAGTCAGTTCTTAGCAGGTGCTGCAGGCCAGGCCGCCCCGCCCCCCACCCCCCCACCCCACCCAGCTCCTCCGACCCGCCCTGACCACCTGTCCACAGAGAGCCACCGAGGCTGCGCTCAAGCAGTCAGGGCTTCATCACCATGATAGAACACCTAAAAACAAACAACTCGCAGGCAGAAAAGTTTCTTTGGGCTCCTGGGTTCAGAGCTTGTAACCCAGGAATCCAGGGCCAACTGGTCCCTCCTGGGCTTCAAGAGAGGCAGACTTGGTGGGGAGGGTGAGGCTGGAGCAGACAGCTCAGAGGAACCAGGTCCCAGAGAGGGTATGGGGGCGGATGCCCCAGGGACCATCTCATGGTGCTGGAAAGCAGGCTTTGAACTCGGGAGCCTCGGGGGACATTCTAGATCCAAACTGTCATACACAGTAGGAGCAAAGAAGAAAAGAGGGGGAATTACAGCAAAGAGTGACCTAAGCTGGACAAAGTGAGGCGTTGAGAGAAAGGGTCGCCTGGGTCGGGTGTCGTGGTGCACGCCTGTAACTCCAGTACTGGGAGGCTAAGGCCGGAGGATTGCTGTGAGTTTGAGGCCCGCCTGCACTACACGCTGGAAGCCTGCCTCAAAAAACAAAACCAGCAAAGGTCACACTGGGAAGTTGAATCGTCTTGGCCTGGGGTGTAACTCAGTGGCGAAGTGCTTCCCTATTAGCACCAGCCTGGGTGGCAGCCCAGGGGAGCAAAAAAGGGGAAGCAGCAATACAGGGGTACGCCTCACTTCAGACATCTCTGCCTGAAATGGTGAGGGGGACATGGTGAGGGCAGAGAGACCGCTTCTGCTTCTGCAGGGCAGGGGAGAGGAGATGGAGCGCAGAAAGGCGCAAGTGGAAGGGGAGACCGGGCCATCTGGAGGGAACCCCGGGACAGGGGAGGGCAGGGGACGAAAGCCACAGAAGAAGAGTTCCCCGAAGGATGGACGCAGGCTCCATCGTGACTTTGCGATTAGTTGTTCAATTTGGGACAGTCACCTGTTCCTCTGAGTTTATTCCCATGCGTGTAAAATGGAGACAAAAGATTGTGGTGGTATAGATAACTTCTGCTAAATATGCAGCACATACCATCGTATTTTATCAAATTGTATGTATGTGCTTATGATTCTATCTTCATATCCCTGTATAGCATTATGTTGGCTCCCCAGAGCTGCCTTAAGAAACAACCATAAACTGGGTAACTTGAAACAACAGAAATTTACCCTTTCACATTTCAGGAGGCCACAAGGCCAAAATCAAGCAGGGCGTGGCAGCTGGCACAATCAATGATGCCTCTCCAAGGACTTGGGAGGCTGAGGCAGGAGGATCATTGTGAGTGTGTGGCCAGTGTGGACTATATATCAAGACCCTGCCCCAAAAGAAAAGAGAGGTAAGGAGAGAACAGGGAAGGGAAAGGGAGGAGAGAGAAAGGGAGAGGAGGAGAGGAGTGAAGAGGGGAGGGGAGGGGAAAGGAAGGGAAGAAAAGGGAGGATAGGAGAGGGTAGGGGAGAGGAGAAGGGAGAAGGGGAGGGGAGGAGGGAGAAGGGGAGGGGAGGGAAAGGGAGAGGAGGAGAGGAGTGAAGAGGGGAGGGGAGTCAAGGGGAAGAGAGGAAAAGGGAGGAGAAGGGATGGGAGGGGAGAGGAGAAGGGAGAAGGGGAGGGGAGGGGAAAGGAAGGGAAGAAAAGGGAGGATAGGAGAGGGTAGGGGAGAGGAGAAGGGGAGGGGAGGGGGGAGAAGGGGAGGGGAGGGAAAGGGAGGAAAGAGGAGGCAAGGGGAGAGGAAGAGAGGGGAGGAGAAGGAAGAGGGGAAGGAAGAGGAGAGGAGGGGAGGAAAAGAGAGGAGAAAAGAGGAGAGGGGAGGGGAGGGGAGGGGAAAGCAGAGGACAGGAGAAGAGAAGGAAGGGAAGTGGAAGGGAGGGGAGGAAGGGAAGGGAACGCACAACTTAAGGTGTACTAGAACTGACACCTCCCTGACCTCTGCTGGCTGCTGGCAATCCTCGCATTTGTTCCTTGACTGTCACAACATAACTGCAATTTCTGCCCCTGCCCCCCCCCCCCGTCACCTGGCCTTCTCCCTCCTCCCCATGTCTGCGTCCTCTTTCCCTGGAAAGGACAGCTATCACATGGAATGTGTGCTGTAGGACCCACGCTACTCCAGTGTGGCCTCAATCCTAGCTGACGACATCGCCACAGGCCCTGTTTCGAGTTTCAGACTCATGTGACTTCTGAAGGAGCCCTGCACCCTAGTCCAAGAAGCGGACGGCCAGCTTATTGTCCCGGTAGCTTCAGTGGTCTAGGTGTTTAATAACTAAAACTTGGACTGTAGCAAGGAAAGTAACGAAATGATTGAGAGCTCAGGTAGTGGAACGTGAATCCCATCGAGTCCCCTCCTCTAGCTGTTGGTTCACTCACCTGGTAAACAGGCAGAATAACTCCTCAGGGTGGGCTGGGCTGGGTTATCTGGAGTAATACATGAAACGCACTCAGCACGGCATCAGGCCCTCAGAGACGGTGCCTGGCTTGACGGGAACAGCCTCATGGTACAAGTGAGTAGAAGCTGTTCACAAAAACAGGAAAGATTCATCTTTTGTCTTGTTGAGATGGGTTCTCCCTGTGCAGGTCAGGCTGGCCTTGAGCTCACTTTGTAGCCCCAGCTGGTCTCAAACTTACAACAATCCTCCTGCTCTAGCATCCAAAGTGCTGGAAAAAAGCCAAATACTTTATGTACATTTTCTTTTCTTTTTTTTTTTTTTTTTTTTTTTTTGCAGAACCGGGGATTGAACTCAGGTCCTTGTGTTTGCCAGGGAAGTGCTTATTCCGCTGAGCTATCTCCCCGGCCCCCTGTACATTTTCGAAGTAACAAAATTGATGTTCTAAGTGGTTATGTGACTTTTTCACTTTGTTGTGTCTTGCTTGGTAAAGGTGAGGATGACTATCTTTTGTAGCACTTCTGTATATTAGTCACACTTTACAAATTCATTGTTGATCACCTGATAATAAAATATAAAAATTATAAAGCAATATTTGTGGCTATGTTAGGTTATTATCTTACTTAAGAAGGCTACTTGGGCCAGGTGTGGTGGCAGACACATCTGTAATTCCAGCACTCTGGAGGCTTAGGCAGGAGGATCATTGTGAGTTTGAAACCAGCCTGGGCTACACAGTGAGCTCAAGGTCGGCCTAAATAGCATAGCAAGAACCTGTCTCAAAAAGACAAAAAACAAAAAAAATAAAAAATAGAGCTACTAAATCTCACTGAGTTACATTGCTAAAATCTATATTTATTGCCTCTGGTTGACAGGACTTAACAGTCCAATCTGTGCGCTTGCAGTTTTTCAATACCCTGTACTAAGAAGGCAAGAGAGGAACCTTTAAAAGCTAAAAAAATTCTTTGCCATTCATATAGTACTTTCACGTTATCAGCCTAAATCTTTGCATTCAAATCTTTTTTAACAAAGCGATGTACAAATACAGACAAGTGGAACCCTCTAACACCATGTTCCCAAACAGGCAATTATTATCAGAACTGTAAGAAAGATATTTTAAGGATTTCTGTGTGCTATTGCCTGTTCTACACTGCATGCCTAAGTAGGCAGGAGAGGAATTTTACACATTGATTGATAAAATGAAGACAAATCATTCATGATTTCAGCCTCAGGATGCCCTCGATTGGGTACCAACCACCTGAGTACAAAGACGCCAGCTGCAGCGAAGGGCCTGGAGGGCCACAACAGGTTACATGTGCATTAGGGTTAGTATTTTGGTTCTACTTTTATTTCAGTGTGTATTTCTACTATGCATTTGGTTTATTTTGTAGTAAGCACTGCAAGTCCCACTTATAACAGCTATATATTTACATACAAAGAAGCAAAAAAGGAGCTTTTGTTACATGCGTGCAAAAGACGAGGCGAGGCTGCCTTTGTTTCTTCTGAATTCATTGCAGAATGAACTAAAAAGCTTCCTGTCCAACTCTAATTTCTGTGATTGTGATGCCCGCCTGCTACTTTACCATACATACATTTACCACAGAGCACAGATGTCATGTGTTTGTGGCTTGCCTAAACCTCCTTTTTTCAAGATTTGGACATTTGTAGATGAAAATTATCTCTGTTGCTTTTTAAATTGCAGTTCAGAAAATACAAATGTAAGACTTTGTAGACTTATTTCAGAACATGCATCTAATTGATTAAAGGCCCATGCAAACGAAGCAATTTGGGGAGTTAGCATGAGGCGGCACTGCTCTGTAGCTGCTTTGGTAAAGATAAAGCATTTCAGCACAAGCTCTGCACAAAGCACTTGGGAGCCTTAAATCACAGAGCAGAATTCCTTAGGAAAGGGACAAAAGAGAGACTTCCTGTCATTTCCATGGCTTTCTGCATGTGGCACCAATATGGGCAACGCAGAGTTTAAACAGATGCAAATGCAGGGGGAGGCAGCCCCGTCATGCTTGCTTTCCATATTTCTGCACGGCCAGATTGAATTTAAGTCCTTCTCCTCCCGTTGGACCTTCCCGAGGAGACTGAAATCACCGCAGGCCTGAATGGGCTTCTTCACCAATATTTGCTTATGGAAATAAAGGGGAGTGACCGGGGAGAGCAGGAAAGGAGTGGAGGAGGGGCCTGGGCCGGGGGAGGCTCCCCACAGCCTGGCGCACCAGTAACCTTGTCCGATGTGATCATTAACCTCGCTGGAGCTCGCAGCTGGCAGCCCTCGAGTTCATCACTAGGATGCGAGGACAGCCACACGGCTAAAGCACAGGCTGCTCACTGACTTTTGGGGTGACTTCGAGAGCTATTGCTGCCCTCGCCTGCAGCAGAAAAATGAGATTTCGGCAAGTTTTTTGTGTATTTTTCATTTTTTTGATGATTCTCCTCCTTACCAACGGACAGAGACCAGGTAGGACTCTGATGCATTGGTACTGAGTAACTTGTTTTTAATGCCTGTTTGTGATCCTGCATCTCTGGGTGCGAGTGTTTATGCCGAAAGCCACTTAGGTGTGTTTGCAGTTGGTAGGATTTCAAAAGTATGTTAGCTATCTTGTTGGGGATATTATTTGGATATTTTTTTAAATTTAATACTTTAAAATATTGATAAAGATTTTTACTGCCACTTTTCTAAATGCAAAGAAAATTATAAATACGCTGTCCTTACAAGCAAAAAGAAATGGAAATGCTGGTCTCCTCTTTACAGAGGTTAATAAACAATGGATTTGGGGGTAAACTTCAAAACCCAAAGCAGTTTTGTCAAAAGGACGTGTTGCTAGCTGGAGGAGGACAATGTTAACTGAACTCAAGGCGCGTAAGAATCATAAAGTAACAAAATGCAGAGAAAATCACAACACAAGCCAGCAGTTGCCATTGCTAGGCATAGAGTATACATCGCTCAGGACCAAAAAAAAAGTGCAATTTTTATTACCTGTAATAAAAAGTGCAATTTTTATTATGTATTTTGTGCTTTTGCCAAAATATGCATGGTTCAAATACCTAAGATTAATTTATTCGTTTTCAAGGATGATATCAGTTATGCTGTATGTAATCAACAGGAATTTAGTGGACAATTACTTCAATGTGTTTTTATTGCAAGGCCAAATACCTAAGATTTCAAAGTCCTAGTAAGTAAATGAAAATTAAAAATTGGCAAGTTAAAAGTTTCCTGACGCTCACTTTCAGTAAGAAAGTGACTGTGCATCCCAGAATGTCAACATTATTCACTCAATAGCATACAGACATGGTACGTAACTGGTTAAAACTCTCCAGTCGCTGCCTCTCGTTCATTAGGTGTTCGGTTGCGCTGGGGTTATTTCAAGTCTGTCCTTTCTCACAAATAAGAAAAAAGCTCCAGTCAGCAACTCCGAGGAAGCAATCTGATCCCCTCTTATTGTTTACAACAACTGCCATTCAAACCATTTCTACTTTTCTGAAATACAAAACACCTCGGTGATGTCGTTGTAAAATATTTATGGTTGCATAAAATGAAAAGCCTGAGAGCCAGAAGGGAGAAAATGCACAAGAGGAGGAGGAGGAGGTCGCTGTCAAGATCTTATTGTTAGGAGTATACCTTGCATAGCGGCATCTCATTAACTTTTAACCACGATCACATGTGAAGGCAGCATCGCGGATAACTACAGCGCAGCTGGCTGCAAATAGACTAGCTCTTAGGTTCTCCAGGTTACCCCACAGCTCCCTGTTTCAAATGTTGCTAATCTTCCTCTTTCCTTCAGCTAATCTGGTGCTGAGAAGAAAGCTGCACAGGCACAACTGCCTCCAGCGGAGATGCATGCCGCTCCACTCCCGGGTGCCCTTCCCCTGAGGTATTTCTGACAGAAAGCCCTGGTGCAGCGTTTAATGGGCCACACCAAAGAGGGCCTATTTGCATTTTGTAGCACTTGATAATGGCTGTGGTGAAGTAAGTGTACTGATGAATGAGCGAGGTGACATGATGCCTGGGAATTGCTTTCATAGTCAAGGAAGAAAATAAGATAAGTGGCTGGGGATATAGCTCCGTGGCAGGGCGCCCGGTGGCCAAGTGCAAGGTCCTGAGTTCGAGTCCTGGTGCCAAGAGAAAAGGAGATAGATAAGCAAAATCCTGATAACTGTCAAATCTGAGTGACAGCAACATGGAAGCTGGCACAAGCTTATGTGGTTGAGAATTTTCATAATTAAGTCAGGTATCATGGAAATTATAAAACTAGTTTTAAATATGTGCTTTGAAAAATGCTGAGGAAAAAAATTTAAAAAAAAGAAAAATGCTGAGAGCTGAGAGCTCCTGATGGTGGGCAGAGCAAGCACATTTCCCACTTAGACCACCATGCCCTTGAAAGCATTCGGGTGATTCACCCCATCAACACCCCCCAACAAACTGGCCTCGGTAGCTCCCTGTTTACTATCTAAAATCTACTTAGTAGTGTGGCATCTTCCTACCCTCACTAACAAATTCTGAATGGAAATTGTGCTGCTCCCTTTCTGTCCTTACCCTCGCTACAGGTTGATAGGTTCATGCTTTCATCATCTCCAGTAATATGGATTGCAGCAGTTAGTTTTATTTTTATTTTATTTATTTATTTAGTCTTTTTTGAGACAGAGTCTCAATCCAGCCTTGAGCTCACTCTGTAGCACAGGCTGGCTCCAACTAGCGAAAGTTGTCCTGCTTCAGCCTCCCAGAGTGCTGGGATTACAGGCAGCAGTTGGTTTTAAACATTGCCAAGGTTTAATTCACTTCACACTCAATTGATGTTCCGTTGTACTTATTTTAAGCTCCTTAGTTCATTTAAAATATATCTTCCTGGGGCTGGGGAGAGAATTCAGCAGCATAGGTGCCTGTCTGGCAAGCACAAGGTCCCGATTTCGATCCCCGGTACCACATGCCATGACGCCCCGGCCCCCAAAAGTCCACATGTGCCTTGCCAGCCCCAGAAGCAGGCATAGTGGCACATACCTGTAATCCCAGCACCAGGGGGACCACTGACACAGGAGGACCACTATGAATCCGAACTGCACAGCAAGACCCTGTATCAAAAGAATGAAAAACATAATTTTAAAAAAGAATCTAGGGCCGGTGAGATGGCTCAGTGGAATGAGTGCTTCCCTGGCAAGCACAAGGGCCTGAGTTCAATCCCCGGTTCCGCAAAAAAAAAAAAAAAAAAAAAAAAAAAAAAAAAAGACAAAAAGAAAAAAAAAAGGAAAGTAGCTAAAACAATTAGTCTATTTTATGATCATAACCCAAAAC